CAGGATTCTTGCTCAGAAAAAGGATCAACATGCTCTGAAGTCAGAGCACAAAAACCTTTTTGTAACAAAATATCGATTTCTGCTGTCCCTGTATCCATACATTATTAGCAAACAAAATATCACCATGCTACACAGTATCCATTTTCCCCCCCACCCCTATTGTGTATGTAGTATAGTATGTGGTTAAACTGTATCTTCCTTCTGTTCTTTTAGTGTGTGCATTAGAGTTCCCTGATGTTCTGCGTGATTCACTGGAAGTGCTCTGCTTGAATGACAACCAGCTGGAATGTGTTCCCCAATCAGTCTGTGGTCTGCACAATCTCACTGAACTCTACCTCTCAAAGTAAGTTCCCCTGTCTGTCTGCCAACCCCCACCTGTCCTTCCTCATATTTCACACTGTTGTTATTGATTCAAATTTTAAAAAGTTACAAACCTCAAAATTGGTTTTTTTGGTAACAATATATGGGATGTGCAGGTCAGACACTGCAGTTACAGACCAATTTTGTGTATAATCATATGTATATTTTGCTGAGATACAAAGTCTAAACAGTACCCAGCAGTGTAGTGTACAGTGCTGCATCGCAGCATGAAAGTCGACTGGAAGAGAAACGTGTGGTAGGAACAGATGCCCAAGAAGCAGGGATGATCACAGCCTTGGGAGGATTTTTAGAACTAGGAAAGGCTTAAAAATGAGTAGACTGAGGCTGGTGTCAGTGTGCAACGAACCACTCCACAGGTGTCATCAGGAAAGGTGATATAGCTGTTGGTCACATGACCAATAACATCCAATCCAATCAATCTTATATTGCACAAACAAACGAGAAATTAAAAATCTGTCAGGGGTGCATATTGCTTGCAAGCCATAAAAAAAGAATAAAAATGTAGACAAGCCACAAAAACAACATTAAAAAAACCAACTAAGCCAGCAAACAACAACAAAAAACGAACAAAAACAGACACACACATAAAACACCCAAACAACCTACTCTCCCACTCAAGCTAACCACAATGTGTGTCCTATATATTGACCGAGCTAAGATCCTGTGGGACTTCCAGATACAG